TCTTAAGTATGTTTTCCACTATTTTTTAGCAGATGCTGGTGAGAATAACAGGCCGGTAATTTCTAGCACTAGTGCAATCCCCACCTTTGTATATTGGGTATATATTTGCTGTCTTCCATTCACGTGACAGCCTCCACAATTCGAATGAAGAGTGGAACATGTTTGCTAGGGGCCTAAAGAGTTCGTTTTCCAGTTCTGTCAAGAATTTGGCCGGTATACGGTACGAACGCAACGACTTTGAGTTTCCATCACTTTCTTTCTAGGACAGGTGTCGAGAAGTGTATAAAATCAAGCACGGGATTGGTGCTCACAACGGCATAGCTGATATTATGATCCTGAAACTCCGGTCACCTAGCCAAACCGAGGCAGGGTACCGTTCCAAGTGCTCGACTTTCTCGCTGTTTTCAACAATTTCTACACCATTAGCATCCTTCAGTACTGCGACTGAGTCCTTGTTTTTCAGTTGACTGTTAGTATAGTGGAATGAGATTTTTGACTTTTGTTCAACCTGTCGGATAATTCTGGATTTATAGTCATTTCTTACCTGATGGATGCATTTTTGACTGCATTTCGATGACATAAAACGGCAGTTCCTGACCATGTACACATAAATGTTAAAACTTTACCATTCCTGAAAGCCATTTCCGAATTTCCAGCATCCACTGGTTCGGTAAATCAGAGCTATTATACAACATAGAAAGTCCCTATTTCTACTTTTTCAATGTGGAACCCGGGACGAACCTTTGCCGAAACTTAAACAGGAGAAGAATCAAGGTTACTCGATTGAGACCTACAAAAGATATTGGAAAACCGGACGCTGACGTACTTAAAAATGCCTTGTCTCATGTAGGCAAAATTCTTTTATTTTTGGTCCCCTTTTCATAGGAACCGTCTTTACACTCGCATTGGGCAATGTAGGGAACCTGTACTCTTAGTTGGCCTTGTTGATAATGAGGCCTAGGACAAGCCGAAATAAATTTTCAAGGCGTCCTGACACACCGGCATCCAACGTACACGCGGACAATATGGTTGGTGATTGTCCCTAGACAACGGTATGATAGGCTCCCAAAATAATTAAGTCTTATCGTATCATAAACGGTTTTCATAGCCCTTTTGTCTGTTTCCAAATGTAACTCACCACAAATATTATGATAACGCTTTCCAAAATCCTATAATCATGCCTCGTCCTCTTCTTCATTCCCCTCCCTTCTTCTTTCCTCCTGCCCCCTCCTACCCCTCCTTTTCCTCC